GCAAATGAGGTCTATTTCTTGTACTCATGCTTATTTCATATCCATTGAGTACATCATGTTGGCTTGGGTCATATAAGCTTGCCTAACTCCTTTGTTCTTATTGTCAAAAGCTTATATGAACCAATTATGTTGAAAAACCTCATCTCTTTTACATACTCGAGGTTGTATTGTCATCAATCACCAAAAAGGGAGAGATTGAAAGCATCTAGGCCCCTAGTTGGGTTTCGGTGATTAATGACAATACGAGATTACTGTGACTAACGTGTGTTTTGCAAATGCAATTAAGTTAGATCATGGTAATGACAATTGATTGGGCAATCATGGCTGTCATGCCCCTACGATGGAAATCGTTTCGGTTTTCAAAGGATGGATGACAAGGTTAAGGATGGACTAGTTCTAACTGTCGTTTGGTGTTGAAGAGACACTTAGAATAGTTTAGGACTTTGTTTTTTCCTTTGGCCGTACTATTAAGGGGGGTATGGACGGGTAGCTTGACCTAGGTGAGTCTAGTGGGTTAGGTGTGGTGTACACTTGTCAAATCTAGCACTAGGTAGCTCCGAAGTAGCCCTTAGATCAATTAGAGAAAACTTCATTCACATATGATTTCGAGTTGGAAGTGAATGGAGGATCAAATATTGACCGAACACTGGTTTCGGTGTGATCGGACGCTGGCGCAGAGTCCGGTCAGTTCATTTGATCAGGGTGAAGTCGTCTGGATGCGACCGGACGCTGAGTGAAATGTGACCAGGCGCTGGGTACTAGAGTCCAGTCAACTCCAGTAAGGTTCTAGAGAGGGAGAATCATGATATGACGCGTCCGGTCAGTGTTGACCGGACGCTGGTTAGGTTCCGGCTACTGACCGGACGCTGAGCAGCAAAGTGACAGGGTGCTGGGTGCCAGACTTCGGTCAACATCAGTAAGGTTCCAAAGAGTAGTTTTTGTGACCGGACGCGTCCGGTCAGTGCTGACCGGACGCTGGTCAGTGTCCGGTCACAACTTAACTGCTCGATGACGGGGAGAACTGACCGGAGCGTCCGGTCACCTTGACCGGAGCGTCCGGTCACCTCGCAGTGGCACATAATGGTTTGTTTTGAATGAGGGGTTATAAATACTTCCTCTATTCACTCAAGGGATCACTTTTGCTCATTTCAACAGCTGAGAAACACCCTTGAGAGTGCCAAGGAGAGCAAGGTCCTAGTGAGGTGATTGAGATTTGAGAATCCAAGATTAAGACCTCATTAGTGAAAGCAATAGTAGCAAAATGTGCATCCACCCTTCTCATTAGGCTTATCGTGGTCAAGTGAGAGTTTGTGCTTGTTACTCTTGGTGATCACCATCACCTAGATGGCTTGGTGATGATTGGGGGTTTGGTGATCATCCGGAGGAGCTTGTGGATGACCCAACTCAAGTTGTGAGCGGTTGTGGGTGATTCACCACGATGGAGTGTCGAAGAATCAACCCGTAGAGAGCACTTGATCCTTGCGCGGATCAAGGGGGAGCTACACCCTTACGCGGGTGCTCCAACGAGGACTAGTGGGGAGTGGCGACTCTCCGATACCTCGGCAAAACATCATCGCGTTCGTCCTTCCCTTTTTACTTTAAGCAATTCGATTCTTGTCTTTACATTCATAGAATTGTCATACTAGAGTAGGATTAGAACTTAGGTTGCAAAACTTTTGTCCGGTAGAACATTAGAAACACATTCTAGGCATAAGGGGTGAAGTGGGTTAAGTGTAGGGTTTAATTTTTACAAAAAATTTTAGAATTAACCCAATTCACCCTCTCTTGGGCATCTTGATCCTTTCAGACGTTGATAATGCATCGCCGTGAGTTGCCTCGTAATGTCGAGTCGATAGCGAGGACCACGCGAGCCGTCGATGAGGGCTGACGAGCACTGCCGAAGGATGATGACGAGTCGATATCGGGTGATGTAGCCGAATTCTTAAAGTTGACCTGCATGCTGCTGGCTTGCCGCATGTAGCTGTCTCCTTGATTGGTGTCGACGAAGCGCAGCGTTGGACCTCTAGAGAACTCTTACGAAGAGCGATGCGCCTCGGAGCCTTGAGTTGAGATCGCCGTCTCATGGAGCCGAGTTGTCGCCGCAGATGGTGATGGTGATGGAAAATTTCCATCTGGTTCTCCCTAAGCGTAGCTGACGATGAAACGACGGACAGTCCGACCAGTTGGTTGGCGAAGTGAGCGCCAAGTAGAAGTGAGCATCGAACGGTCCGATCAACTGGTCGGATATTGCATTATGGAACATCTTAAACACGGAGATATTAAATGTGGAGACATTTAATTATGGAAAATAATCGGAGAAATAATAATTGGAAAAGCATGGCGAAAACTCGGAGAAAATAATTGGAGAAAGTTGTATTAAATGCAGATATAGTAGAGGTACTTAGCTTTAGTCAAAATGTCTAATCGGCGGCGTATGACGTTATCTGATCGGCGTCGACGAAATTGCCCAGCCCTCGAGCTTTCCATCCTGTTGTCATGGTAGCGGTCGCGGTCGTCATAGCGCCGTTCTACGCGGCGATCATTGCGACACGGCAGACGATCGGCACGAGTAGTCTAGACGACGTTGTCCTTATGCCACTAGTCGGTCTTAGGCAGATCAGATACAGAGAGATCGTTGTCGTAGCTATATTCAATCTAGTCAAAGAGACGATGCGACATGGCACATTAATAGCCGGCGAAGTGGAGTAATCGACGTATATAATATCCAGCTCGCATCTATGCAGAGGAGTTGTAGTCGTAGTCGAGGGCGAGGTCCGATGAGTCGTGATGGAAGACGAGGATGATCGCCACTGTGAATAACCATAGAAAGCGTATGCAGATACATAGAGACATAAACATGCAATACGATACTAAATTGGAAGAAAGGAATAGGACTTAGCTTGTCAACAAGCCGCCGGGCGTGTTTGTGCTTGCGACCTCCATGCATGCTGAGCGTGTAAATATATACTCCCATATATACAAGCCAATTAATGCATAGCACTGTACGTCCTCCTTTGTTGCTTGAGATTGTGCGACAGTTCCTACGCAAACGCCGCTTGACGCTTTCCACCGATGGCATGAACAGGAGCGTCGTGCGTGGCTGCCGATCATGATTGGTTGGTATTGGACAGGGCACGGAGGCACGCCGTCGAACGTCGAGAGAGAGGCGCCGCTTGACTCAGCGCCTCGTCGCGAGCTGCTGCAGATTGCCTCGGGACGCAGAATCCCGTCGTAGCGCCAAGTTGCTGCCGACGCCGTTGGTGAAGAAATTCTCTGGTTCGCCATAGAATCAGCACGCACATCCTTTATGTGGCGCACCACTGTCAACGAAATCTAGTCGACAGTCTACCGAGGGGTATACCCATAATAGTGGATGATCGGTGGAGGTGTGCGTAATAGGAACCGAATGGTGACACAGGCGTAGAGACAGCGGTTTAGACAGGTTCAGGCCGTCTGATCGACGTAATACCCTATGGGCTCGTTCGGCTGGTACGGATGGAGCACTGTTCATGGAGGAATTTCACTGTTCACGAATGGTTTCCCTCATAAATTCCTCCAGATTTCTCCGAGCGAACGGGGCCTATGTCATGTGTCTTTAGTTGATTGTATTGAATATGAGATAAATTCGAGGAGGGTCCCTACCCACCTTATATAGTGTGAGGGGTAGGGTTACGAGTCGATTTAGGACTAGATCTATTCTAAATATTACAAGGAATACGATATCTATCATATCCAAAAAGATCTTCCTTTATCATTAAGATGTTTTCTGATTGGCTTGCGATGTACATTAACCAGAACTAAGCACCGTAGGCCTTGATTTTATGAGCTGGACCTCCCCTGACGGTGCAGCCCATGTCCATTGCCATAAGTACATGGGTTATACCCCCCACAGTAATAGGATCAACCCATGTCTTATTAATGAACATTTCTGTGTGCGCATAAAATAAAATGAACAAAGTAATGTAACCTGGTATACAGAGGGGTTTACGTTGGAAGTACGATTACACTTTGCTTGCACACAACACCTAGGCTTTGTTTAGTTCCCAAATTTAGGAGTGGCCAAATAATTAATGTGTTACTGTAGCATTTCATTTGTATTTATGAATTATTGTTCAAACATTGATTAATTAGACTCAAAAGATTCGACTCGTAAAATACAACCAAACTGTACAATTAGTTTTTGATTTCGTCTATATTTAATACTCTATGCATGTACCGTAAGTTTGATGTGACAGAAAATCTTCTTTTTGCATAGTATATTTTTTAGGAGTTTGATGGAACTAAACATGGCCCTGGTTTCTCGAGGAATACAGGGCAATACACTGCACCAGAAGCGACATAAGTGCTGACATTTATCGGCATCAGAGCTTCTTGAAGTCTTCCACACACCAAACAAGGAGCTAAAACAGATGATCCAAATATTGACCTCAAAGTCAGTAGTCTAGTAGCACACTACAACGTCCAACCTGAGGAACTGTGATCTGTACTTCATCTTCAAGATCAACGGTTAAAATGAATATTGGACCTAGCAATGGATCAACAGATCAACAAACTTCAATAGAACTGCCAGCACATGGATGCAGTAATGCCTATTCGCGCGACGTTACTTCAAGCTTGCATATAGGGCAGAAGGTGCCCCATTTTGTGAGCCAGGAATCAATACAGGTCTTGTGGAATTCTGTAAATAAAATTATCGATGATAAGATAGTGGAGGAGCTATAAGAAATGAAAAGTTTCGAGCACACTTGCTGCTAATGGATATCATTATGTTGGTTCCCAAAATCATTGTCTGCCTTGAAACAAATGTATTATGCAAAAAGAGAAAATATGCATCTACCCATCAGGGTCACTCAATATATATGATTATACTGGTACATTTGTATCTATCACTGAGAAACAAACAGTAACAGTTATATGACAGCACCTCAATATCTTTGGTAACTATTGAGTCAGCAATAATAATTTAAGATAGCAAGTACTAAAATATCTCAAGCTCTTACCATGTTTGCATGGGAGATGTCTAAGCATATCACCATTATTGTAGTCTTCTAAGCAAATTGCACAAGCTTCCGGAAAATTATCTTCACTAGAACAGGAAGCACTGTATGCTGAGCAAGGAAGCTTTTCCACCACATGTTTCTTGACGTAAGTTGGGTGATTATCAACTCCATGGCGTAGAAGTCGGCAGTTTCGAGCAAACAGAAAAGAAGCAAAAACTGATATGATGACAACAAGTGACACGAATGACATTACCAACACTGTCCCTGCAGTCTCATCCATCGATAAGTTAATACAGCACTCATCATCTTCACCCCTGGCAAACTTTTTTAGTGTTTCGCCAGCCATCTTGGAAACGAATATCGCAGGTATGTGTATGCCCTCAGATTCACCAACCACTAAATTAACATAAAGGAGGAAACTATTAACTAAACAGGGAATCTCCCACAATGCTACAAGAACTGAATAGATGAACACAGAAAAAAATGTCTACGCTAAACAGCACAAAAATCATTTTCTCATGTCTAACATTGATAGGATTTATTCTGGTATTGAGATTCTCGTGTGATGACAAGCTCTTTACCTAGGTACCTGTAGAAACCTCAGTACTTTGATGTGCATAGTGGGACTGTTAGAGTACGTCACGTCAGGGGCCTATTGGGCCTGGGTTGGCTGTATAGCCCGTGTTAGGGTTAATTAGAGATAAGGGTCGCTTACTTAAGGGTCAAGTAAGCCTTGCTTGGGAGTCAAGTAAACCTCTCTATATAAGTAGAGGAGATGTATCAATCTAGAATCAAGCAAGAGATTAGAAGGAAATCCCTTCTCTCTTGCCGGCCGTGGGCGAAGCCCCGCGGCCAGCCTCCCCCAGCGCCCTTGCAGCCCTAGCCGCCACCACCACGTGAACAGTACCCGCGGATACTGTAGCGCTGCGGTACTGTAGCACACACATCGCCGCCACTTCCCTCAACTCGCTCCTCTCGATCCCAACAACCCCAACGCCATCCATAACAGGGACATCCTACACCAGCAATGTAATCAGGTCGTCTGACTAATCATGATTAGTTGGCTTATCAGTCCGCTCAGCTCAATTAGGCACCTTGAGTCAACTAGGCCGATCAAAACTCTAGATGTCCGATTAGTGATTTTCGACCGATTAAGACATGCCTCGGGAGATGAGAATGCAAACTAGGCTGGCACCTGGTCACTTGGACACTTGGGCTTAGTGTTTTCCACCCCAATAGGGTTTCACTTGTATACCTCCTCCACTCCTCTCTCATTGGATCCCCTTCACTGCAGACTGCAGTCACCGCCTTGCAGGAGCTCGAATGGGCAGGAGAAGCTCTCACCACCCTGCACCTTTCCCAGCTGCTGCTGCCACCTCATCCATCCCAAGCCATTGCTCCTCTTCCCAATATCCCCAGGCTAGGAGCACACACAGGGAAGCTGCTGGCTCCATCCCTGCCTCAGCCGGGCATCGAGTGCTGCCAGGGTCCATCCTGATCAGCCCTAAGGAGCCTATGCTAACACCACCAACTCAAAGGGATTACGAAGATGAGCTCCTCCTCTGACGGTCCATGTTCGAATCTTGATGCGTGCTTTTCTTTCTTTACCAATGCTGTGAGTATATACATCTTGGGTATTAGGACATGTCTGACTAGGCTCGATTATACAATTTGAAAACATGTACACCAGTGTTAGCTCAACTGTGTTTTCCCTATGATAGACAACTAAAAGAAATATCATTTACTTACAATTCAATCAGGGAGGTATTGAGTATTGCTAATAGATTGAGCAGCATTAGAGTAACTTGTTAAGCTGGTAGCAATGTTCAGCCAGAGATCATGGAAATCATTTTTCTAAGGGCAGCCAAACATTTTAGTCGTGTGCTGGTGTTAGTTATGTGTTTCTCAGTTTAGAAGAAGTGAAACTGACAAATGAAAATTGTATGGCTAAGAAATTAAACACAAGACAAAAATTACTATAACTATATGAGATTAGAGTCTTGAACAACTTTAATGAAATCAAGGCATTCAGCATTTTTCACTTCACAATCAATGAATTTGGAATTATTAGCCGAGTTTAGTCTCCTTAGAATTAGAACTAGAACATAAAGTCTCTTTCTCCCTTTTAGCTCTTTATTTATATTCTATAGGTCATTTTTAGAAAGCTCGAAGAGACATAGTAACCATGGGAAAATTTTATAATTATGCATGGGTATAATTTTTTGTTCTAACATGTTATTTAGCACCTCATCATATTGTTATTGTCATCGTCTACCTAAAAGCAATGACTAAATTTGCATTGGCACAGCATCAAAATTTGCATGATCATTGTAGTAACCAATTGAAAATTAAACTGTAAACCTTTTTGTTACCTTAAGTATACAATAAGAATTAAACCAATGCACAGAGTATGGCTAAGGACGTAGCATGTGGCATAAGAGCCAAGCAAAACTTCTCGACAACGACTCCATGCTAGTGAGGTTATCGCAACTCACTTCATCAGTAATAACCCTACATGAGTTCTTCATCAATAATACCCATGCATGATGGACCAATATAATGGTAAAAAGGTTGCATAGATTCATGTCTCCTGATGCTGCCTTAAAACATGAGACAAGAAAGAGCTAAAGTCTGTAAATAAGGAGCAAAGGTGAAACAAGTGCTGCTATCATACTAGCTAATAAACCTGAATGAATTGATTTGGAAGTGAAGTCCTATTTGCTAATAATTAGCAAAAAAAAATGAATTAACTATTTTAGAAGTAAAAAACAATGAATGTTGGCCTTAGTTTAAAATGATGCACTAAATAATGTGCATACAACTTCTATTCTGCTTGGCTGTAACCATTCAATTCGAATACAATGCTACCATGTTTTTCCTTAGCCCGACTACTTGCATGCATTTGAGACATTGCCTCGATTCTTATATTGCTCCAGAGAACAAGCAAAAGAGGCTAAAGAAAAAGAGTAGGGAAACTACATAAAAAAACAAGGCCTTCATATTAAGTCATGTCACCATAAGTTAGTGGATCTAAATCATTGTCTCAGATAGCAGATCTCCATTTTAGATTTAGGCCCCGTTTGGATCCTTGGAATTGAATTTATTTTAATAATCATAACTTAGACACATATTAATTAAGCTAATATGGTTGTATATAGATTATATTTGTATATTATTGTTGGCTATACGAGAGAGATGATGGATAAGTCTCTTGTGGTCTTTGTGGGGCTGCAGCAGTCTTTGTGGTCTGTTTTAGAGGACAGCAGCAGCAGCATCCTGGACAGAGGACAGCAGCAGCAGAACATCCTTGACTGGCATCTTAGCATCTTAGGACAGCATCTTAGCATCTTAGGACAGCATATTAGCATCTTAGACTAGCATCTTGGCATATGCTTGGCTGGCTAGCAGCCTATAAATATGTATCCCCAACCCCTCAGGTTGGCATGGCATTTGTGTGAGTTTGTGTGAGAAATAAACCAGAAAATTGCCCCAGCTCCTAGTGTCATCTTCTCTCGATGAGAATAAGAATTCTACTACTACCGAGAGTGAGAGTTCAACGACTAACAACCGGTATCAGAGCCGTACTATCCTGTAGCCTGAGCATCTCCTGCTCATCTCCCCTCCCAGCCCCACAACAGCCCAATTTGTTGGCAAGAAGAACCCTCCGCCCGCCCGCTCACTCTCCTCTCCCTCAGACAGGCAGCCTCAAGGTCTCGGTCTCGCCGAGCACGCCTCGAGCTGTGGCGTCAAGGAGGAGGAACTTGCTTGCGGCAGAGAACGCGAGATGAAGCGGCGGCAGAGACAACCGCGGCGGCGGCGGCAAAGCGCCGAGGTGGGCATGGGTGGAGCTGGCAAGAACAGAGTGAGGCGGAAGCGGCGGCGGCGGCGGCGACAAAAAGGCGGCGGTGGCAGCGGAGGTCGAGGTTTCTGGCAGCGGCAAAGATCGGCAGCTCCATTTCGGCCGACGACACCGCCGACGCGGACCTCGAGCTGCTAGAGAGGGAGGCGCAATGAAGCGCTGGCGGCGCATGATGGCAGCCGCAAGACGCCACGCAGCGCGGCGGCAGCCAGACAGCAGCGCGACGACGCCGGGCGCGGGCGCTCTGGTGGAGGCGCGCGCGGCGGCGGCGCCTCTGGAGGAGGCGCGACGGCAACGATGATGACGGGTCGATGGAGAGCGCGGCCTTCACAGGCAGCGTGGCTCTCTCTCCCCCCATCGGTACCGATGGGTCGATGGAGAGCACGGAATTCACAGGCGGCGTGGCTCTCTCCCGGATCGGTGCCGTGGTTACCACGGGCTCGTGTCGTTGTCGGGGACGCGTCGGTCCCGGCGGTGGGTGGCCTACCCTCACCAAGACCAACTACGCCGAGTGGACCTGCGGTGATGAGGGTAAAGCTCAGTGCGGCACATGTGGGAAGCGATCCAGACGGCGCGACGTCGACCACGACCTAGATCGACGGGCGCCTGGTTGCCCTCATCGCCGCTGCGCCCCGCCCGAGATGCGATTCTCGCTACCAACAAGCGGATCGCCAAGGAGGCTTGGGACGCCATCATTGCGACACGCATCGGCAGCCGACCGCGCGCCCGCAAGTCCCACACCGCAGAACTTCGCAAGGAGTGGGAGAACTTGGCCTTCAAGATAGGTGAGGACGTTGATGACTTTGCTCTCCGTCTCAACACTCTGCTGCGAGAAGATGGTGCGATTCGGCGATGACACCTACGGCGAGGAGAGAGTCGTCGAAAAGCTCTTTCGGCTGCGCCCCGAGAAGTACAAGCAGATGGCTCGCTCGATCGAGTCCTCGCTGGATCTCTCCACGATGTCGTCGATCGAGGAGGCGATAGGTCGCCTCAAGGTCGTCGGCAATGATGAGCCACGATCTCTCTCGGGGCCCATCACCATGGCGGGAAGCTCCTTCTCACTGGGAGTAGTGGCTTTGCGGCCAAGGTGACCGGAAGAAGGGGAGCCTTCTTCCGCGACAAGCGGTCGATAAGCGTGGCAAAGCCACGCAAGCGCGCGCAGAGACGCCGTGGTCGGGCGCGAGGACGTGCGAGGTGATGCCCATGAGGCGCCCAGGCGGCGCCGCGCAGAAAGTACAAGCCAAGACGAGACGCGGCGCCGCCGAAGCTGCGGCGCAGCTTGGCCATTGGGCCAAGGATCGTCGGCACCACGACGCAGCGGCCAGCCCACGTCCGACAAAGCGGCGGAGGAGGAGCCGCTCTGTTCATGGCACATGCAAGCATCGAGCTACCTCTAGGCGCACCGGCCGCAGTGGCTCTCCTCCACCTTGACGAGCCAAAAGCACACGCCTCCTCGGCGATAGCTCCCAAGCAACGACAAGATCGACGGGTGGTGCCTCGACACGCGCCGCCCCATCACATGACCGGTCGACGGGAGTTCTTCACCGAGCTTGACTCTAGCGCCCGAGGCTCCGTCAAGTTTGGGGATGCTCTCGGCGTGGAGATCAAGGCGCGGCTCCGTCATCTTCACTGCTGCGGTTCTGGTGAGCACAGCCGCTCACCCGGAGTCTACTACATCCCGCGTTGAGGAACTCCATCATCGACTTGGGACAATTTGGATGAGAACGGTTCGCGTGGTGGTTGAGGACGAAGTCATGAGGATTTGGGATCGTCGTCGCCGCCTTCTTGCCAAGGTATCGAAGCGCAAATCGACTCTACGCCCCTTAATGTGCGGTGGCACAACCCCTCTGTCTCGCCGCTTTCGTCGGGACGACGAGGCGTGGGTGGCAATGGATAACACGCAGCGTTTGGGCACCTTCACTTTGAGGCCCCAGGCGGCTCGGTGCCACGGAGATGGTGCGAGGCCCGCCGTGCCTCGACCATGTGGAGCGACTCTGCGACGTCTGCGTGTTAACGAAGCAAAAGCGACTCCCCTTTCCCCGGTGGGCGAGCTTTCGAGCCAAGGAGAGGCTCGAGCTTGTGCACGGGACTTGTGGCGGTGACACCGGCCACACCGGGAGGACGACGCTACTTCGCGCTTCGTCGACGACCTCTCGCTACATGTGGGTGATGGTCTCGGCTGAGAAAGGAGAGGCTGCGGACGCCATCGTAGCGCAAGAAGTCTGCTGGGAGGTGAGTCTGGTACAAAGCTGCAGCGTCTTCAAGACCGACAATGGCGGCGAATTCACGGCGGGTGAATTCGCGTCGTCATCTTGTTGACGAGGGCATTCAGGCGCCACTACTCCGCGTCGTCTGACAATTTGAGCAGAATAAGCGTCGAGCGGGCGCAACCCAGACGGTTGTGGGGATGGCTCAGCCCTCCTCAAGCGAGAGGGGATGCATTTGTCTTCTCGGGAGAGGCGGTGGTGACGGCCGTCTACATCCTCAACCGCTTCGCCTACCAAAGGCGCTCGACGGCAGGACGCCGACGAGGCTTGGCATGGGCGCAAGCCAGCCGGTCTCCCACTTGCGGGTCTTCTACCGCCTCGCGTTCGCCAAGGAGCTTGGCCACATCAAGAAGCTCGGCGCAGGAGCACTCCGAGAGTGTTCGCCGGCCACGCGGAGGGCTCGAAGGCCTACCGCATCCTCGACCAAGACACGGCGTGTGCTCACGCTGCGCGCGACATTGTGTTGTGTTCGACGGAAGGCGAGGATGGGCGTGGGGGACAAGACGGTGGGCGACGGCTCGGCTCCGACGTCTGACGACTTCACCGTCGAGTACGCCCACTTCGAGGAGTGGGGAGTAGGCGGCTCTTCTTGGCGCCGCTACTCGACAAAGACCACGCTCTCCGCCCGGGACCTCGGTGCGATGAGTTCTTCGCCGGCCCCACCATAGCCGCAGCAACGCCACGCACTCCAAAGACCGATGGCACCACTCCGCACGTCTACTCCACCACCGGCTCGTGTCGAGCACAACCGGTTGAGCTCGCTACTTCGCTCTCTCACGACGAAGTAAGCGCGATCGACAGCGTATCACGACGGCGAGCCGTTGCGGTACCGTGACGATGGAGAACCTTCTCGACCACCCGGTCGGACCGGTGTGCCTCACGACTTGAGGCGCGATTGCACCTTGCGTGTGACAACGGCGAGCCTCGATGTCGTTTGCAGAGGACGAGAAACACGCGGCATGGCGCGCCGCGATGCATTTGATGGATGCGGTTGAGAAGAACCGCACCTGGGAGCTTGCTGACCTTCCTCGTGGTGGTCGCGCGATCACCCTTAAGTGGGTGTACAAGTGAAGAGGGATGAAGCCGGCACCATCGTCAAGCACAAGGCTCGCTTGGTGGCACGAGGTTTCGCGTGCGGCGGGAGAGGGGTCGACTTCGACGACGCCTTCGCCCCGTGGCACGGATGGAGTCTGTGCGGCGACTCCTCCTTGCGTTAGCCGCCGGGGAGGGTGGCGTGTTCATCACATGGACGTCAAGTCGGCGTGTTCCTTAACGGCGACTTGAAGGAGGAGGTCTACGATGCACCACCGCCGTGATTTGCGATCCCGGCAAGGAGGGCAAGGTTCTCCGCTGCGCAAGGCCTCTATGGCTTGCGGACAGCATCGAGGAAGTGGAATGCCAAGTTGGATTCCACGCTAAAGGGGATGGCTTGAGCAAAGCCCGCACGAGGCTGGCCATCTACCGGCGAGGCGAAGGAGGAAATGCTCTGCTGGTGGGTGTCACGTCGACGACTTGGTGATCACCGGCACCAAGGATGCGGAGGTGGCGGCATTCAAGGAAGAGATGAAGGCCATCTTCCGGATGAGTGACACAGGGCCTCTCCTTCTACACCGGGAATCGAGGTGCACCAGATGACTCGGGATCACGCTTGACAGACCGCCACGCCAAGCGCCGTAGTTGAGCTATTTGGGGCTCACCGATCGCAACCCAGCTCTCACTCCGATGGAGGAGGAGATCAAGTCGAGCCATGCGGACAAAGACGACGGAGGTGGACGCCACGCAGCACGGCGGCGTCTTGTGGGGAGCTTCGCTACCTCGCCCACACACGGCCGGACTGGCATTCTCTCGTCGGCCACGTTAGTCGGTTCATGCAATGACCGACAACGGAACACCAGCAGAAGTGTGAAGAGGATCATCCGCCACGTTATGGGACTCTCGACCACGGCCTCTACTACCCTAGGTGCCCCTGGGCGGCACACTTCGCGGCACGAATGACGGCGGACCACGCCCGGCGACATCGACACCAAAGAAGAGCACGGCGGGATCCTCTTCTTCCTCGGCAAGTGCCTCGTTAGGCTGGCGATCGGTCAAGCGGCAGTGGTGGCTCTGTCCACCATGCGAGGCCGAGTACATAGCGGCCTCCACCGCTCGACTCAGCGCTATGGCTCGCTCGATCGCTTGGTGATCTCCTCGGCAGAGACACTAGAGCGGTGGAGCCTGGGGTGGACAACAAGTCCGCCTCGACCCGGCAAAGAACCCCGTTTTTCATGAACGGAGTAAGCACATCCGGGTGAGGTACCACTTCATCCGAGGTTTGTTTTGAAGGACAGGAGTATCAAGGCGAGCTACATCAACACCAAGGACCCGACTTGCGGACACGCTTACCAAGCCTCTTGGGAGGATCAAGTTCCTTGAGCTCTGCTCGGGACCGAGATGGTTCAACTTCCCCACAAGACGACGCACAAGACTTAGGGGAGAATGATGGATAAGTCTCTGTGGTCTTTGTGGGGCTGCACTGGTCTTTGTGGTCTTTTTAGAGGACAAAGAAGAAGAAGCATCTTTAGAGGGGCGCAAAAAGAATAAAGATCCTCGATGAGAGAGGACAGCAGTGACAACATCCTTGACTGACATCTTAGCATCTTAGGACAGCATCTTAGAGGCATCTTGGGACAGCATCTTAGAGGACAGCATATTAGCATCTTAGACTAGCATCTTGGCATATGCTTGGCTGGCTAGCAGCCTATAAATATATATCCCCAACCCCTCAGGTTGACATGGCATTTGTGTGAGTTTGTGTGAGAAATAAACCAAAAATTGCCCCAGCTTCTAGTGTCATATTCTCTCGATGAGAGTAAGAATTCTACTACTACCGAGAGTGAGAGTTCAACGACTAAAAAGAGATACTTATATGTTGCATTTCTACCATAGGGGGGTGAGTTGAAGAGCGTGTCATAAGTTGTAAAGTAAAAACATATAATGGTGATCTATAGAATCAATTTCCATCTCTCACCATATGAATTTGAGATAGGCTTATATGTGAACTTTGGAAAGTGGTGGAATGTCAAATTCCAAGCCAAATAACCTAATTTATTAAATAGATTTCAATTCCTCCAAATGAAAGGATCCAAGCGCCCCCTTACTGTTTTTATTAAATTAACTAACAATTAAGTACATTTGCAAATTTCTATGCAGAGTAGCCAAGACATTTGCAAAATTCTTATGTAGTTACATGAGGTGGATTATTCTTTTCCCTTTGTAGGGAGACGCACTGGATGAATATAATAGTGACACAGATTTGTAAGCATACACAGATCCATCTTCAATAGAATCTCAAAAAAAAAAGGCACTACCATCTTCAGCTAAAAAAATATTTGTCTAAATTGATATATATAAGAAATCACTAACAATTCTGCAGCAACAGGTAAATAGTTTGCCTACTATGCAACGAATACAATGAGCACCAACGAAAATCCTCAGTTAACCATAACTTCAGCTGGAGCAAACGAATTGCAAAGAAACCAAGAGTAGGGTTAAGCAGAATGGCATGGTGGTACTCACTGGAGTAGAGGCTGGCTTTCTCCTCATCGTCGTACACGACGGCGGCGTCGAACCCCGCTTGCTGCGCCGCCCGAACCTTCTCCTCAAAGCTGCAGTTGCCCCTTGCGATCAGCACGAAAGCCTTCCGGCCCGCGCCGCGGCGGCCGCCGCGGTCTTTGATGGGCTCACACGCCTCGGCCGGCTCAGCGGCGCGAAGCGAGCCGCAGATCCCATCGCCGCCCACTCGGGGCCCTACGCGCCAATATAAAGTAAGAGAGGAAAGGAAAGCTCCATTGAGGGATGGGGAGGGCGATGCTCACCAAATCGCGCTGGGGCGTCGAGGAAAGTGAAGGAAAAAGTGGCGGAGTGAAGGCGGACGAGGGCGGCGCAGGGGCGGAGGGCGGTGGCGAGGAAGAGGAGGACCACGCGGGGGCTCATCGCCGGGACATGAGAAGCACAGATTCTCGTCTCCTCTCTTTACTTCTCGAACAATGGAATGAATTTGGTTGGATATATTCGGTATTTGACATCATTTGCTAGACCTAAGAGCCGGTACCTGCTAACAGCGTCTTCAAGAGTTTTAATTAAAAAACAATTGATAAATCAATAGTCACATGGCTAAAAAATATTTTCAAAATCTCACTAACTGTGTCATGAAATCCCGAATCCCGAATTATTTAAATTACTCTACCTATTTTTATATATTTTCTCTCTTATACATTTGCATTGCGTTCCCTCACATCCATCCACCTCTAGATCGGTAGATTGATACGTGTGTCTATATTTCTGCACGGTTGGATCAATTTTCTTAAGTGCCAAAGATTGGGAGTTGAGTGTCGGTGATTCGAGTTACCACCGACGAGTAAATTTCTAGTATTGCGCATCTGGCTCGGATGGTGTGCTTAGAGGACACAAGGTTTATACTAGTTCGGGCAGAAAGTCCCTACGTCCGGTTCGTCGCTGCTGCTCGTGTTACTAGCACTGAAAGTTTGTAGTAGGGGTTACAAACGGACGAGAGAGGAAAATGATCCCAAATCTCTGGTGGAAGGAGTGAGTGGGTGCGGAGAACTCGATCGCTGCTCAGCCATGTGTTCGTATCGTGTTCTTATGTGTTTATCTCATGTTCTGATCTCGTGCGGATCTCGATTGATCCCTCCCCTTCATGGGGTGTCGTACTTTCTCTTTTATAGGCTAAGGGAAAGCACGGGTTACAATAGAGGAAAAGGAGAAGAACGAGAGAGAAGAAGGCTTCTAGGATTGCCGGGTCCTTCTTCTCCTTCACGCGGGTCCCGCCGACCCTGTAGATGTCAACAGGGACGGCTCCACGTCGCGGCCCTGTCCATCACTAATGTCATGCACAGACGTCATCTGGCGGTCATGGCGCTCCATTCCGTCCTAGCGGACGTTGTGGTGAACTGACGCGCCTGTCAGCGTTTGTACGAGGGTTAGGCAGAACAACACCGGCACGCCGACGTTGTTCTTGATGTGAATCCTCAGGTATGGTCCGTCACGGCCACGGGGTCGGGAATCAATACTAGGGTATCCGAAGAGTAGGAGTTAATGATCATCAACATTAATTCATCCCAGCAGTCAAGAGCACGACTATAGCTCCAACCGACCCCCGGACGCACGGGCTCTGCCTCGACCAACCTCTAGGAAGCCTCTGGGGAAGGACTCCGCCTCGCCCAACCCCAAGGCCACGGGCTCCGCCTCGCCTGACCCTTGGGTTTGCGCTCCGACGCACGGGCTCTGCCTCGACCAACCTCTAGGAAGCCTCTGGGGAAGGACTCCGCCTCGCCCAACCCCAAGGCCACGGGCTCCGCCTCGCCCGGCCCTAAGGTCGCGGGCTTCACCTCGCCTGACCCTTGAGTTTGCGCTCCGCCTCGCCCGGCCCTAAGGCCGCGGGCTTCGCCTCACTTGACCCTTGGGTTTGCGCTCCGCCTCGCCCAGCCTCTGGGGGAGGGCTCGTCTCGCTCGACCCCAAGGCCACAGGCTCCGCCTCACCCGATCCTTGAGTTTGCGCTCCGCCTTGCCCGACCCTTGGGTTTACGCTCCACCTCACCCGACCCCGAGGCCACGAGCTCTGTCTCGCCCGACGGAGACCCACGCCACCGCCAACCAATCCAGGTCCAAGTGTATGGCCTGGGTCAAAAGCTCTGACACCTGGGAGGAGACCGGCATGCCCCGATGTAACCCACGGCCATGACGAGCCATACCCGAGGGTTCACATCAGGAACAGCGTCGGGCGTACCGGTGCTGTTCTGCTTAACCCTCATACGAACACTGACAGGCATGCCAGTTCACCATGACGTCCGCCAGGATGGAGTGGAGCGCCATGACCGGTAGATGACACCTGCGCATGGCGCTAGTGATGGACAAGGCCACGACGTGGAGCCGTCCCTGTTGACATCTACAGGGTCGGCGGGACCCGCATGAAGGATAAGAAGGACCTAGCGATCCTGAAGGCCTTCGGCTCTCTCTCATTCTTCTTTTTTTCCTCCGCTGTAACCTATGCTTTCCCTTGGTCTATAAAAGGGAAAGCAGGGTGCCCCACGAAGGGGGCATCGATCTAGGCCAGACCCGATCGAATCATCATGAACCCATCGAACCCCGAACCGGCCAGAATACAACACAAGCACATGGCTGAGCGGCAACCGAGCTCTCGGCACCCATTCACTCTTTCCACCAGAGACTTGGGACATGTCTCTCTCTCACCTATTTGTAACCCCAACTACAAACTTTTGATGCTAGTAACATGAGCAGCAGCGACGAACTAGACATAGGGACATTCTGCTCGAACCAGTATAAACCTCGTGTCCTCTACGCACACCATCCGAGCCAGACGCGCAATACTAGAAATTTACTCATTGGTGCTAACTCAAAACACCGACAATGGGTTACGTCGGGGTGTGCCGGTCTCTTCCTTGGTGTCAGACTTTTGACCCAGGCCCATACGCCTGGACCTAGAGTGGTTGGCGGTGGTATGGGACCCCGTCGGGTAAGACGGAGCCCGCACCTGAGGAGTTAGGCGAGGCGAAGCGCAAACCTAAGGGTCGGGCTAGGTGGAGCCGACGGTCTTGGGGTCAGGCAAGGTGGAGCGCAAACCCAAGGGTCGGGTGAGGCTGGGCCCGCGATCGGAGGTCAGGTGAGGTAGAGCCCGGGGCCTTGGGGTTGGGCGAGGCAGAGCCTGTGGCCTTAGGGTCTGGCGAGGCATAGCCCTTCCCCAGACGTTAGGCAAGGCAGAGCCCACGTGCCTAGGTGTCGGTCGGAGCTGTAGTCATGCTCTTGACTGCTCGGATGAATCAATGTGGATGGCAATTAGCTCCACCTCTTCGGGTACCCTAGTATTGGTCCCCGATAGTAGCCCCCAAGTCTACGGAGGAGTAGAACACTCCTTCGGAGGCTTTTCCAAATGGGAGGACTATGAGGGCATTGGCCTTCTTTTATCGCCCACGGCGTGTCCTAGGGATGATGATTCCCTTTCATCGTGATCAGACCCCTCGGGGGTCTATCGTTCTGCGACCGCGCGTTCGGTCTCCTTGCGAGTCCAACTTTCCTCGAGCCCCCGCCTGTAGCAGGGGTCCGGTCGAGGGTTGGCTTATTTTTGTGATCGTCTTCCCTCAAGCATTTTTCTTGATAAAAACGGAGGGGCTATGCCATGATTTTCCTCTATGGATGAATTATGGTGCTTGGTGAGCTATTAATGGGCTAGTCCGAGTGGGGCTCTGGCATCCCATTCGCGGGGGTTCGGCTTGGGTCAGCTGGTGACCGACTCTAGATTCTCAGCGGTCAATCCATATAGTTCTTGGGTCTGTTCGACCGGTCTTGAGGGCTCTCTGCCTTTCTTTGAGAAAAAACCATGGATCATATCCGACCGAGACCCGAACGTGGGCCGAAATGCCCGCGACGCTCGTGCACCCGGGTACTGGCCACTAGCGGGCCCATCCCTTTCCACCCCTCGCTCTTAGGGTTCCCCGGAGTGGCCATGAACCCATCGGTGGGCTGGTCTTCGAACTCTTGGGCCTAAATGGGCCGTATAAGCATTTTCAGCTCTGTATCCCTCCTTACCTGCGATGGTTCTCGGCTTATCGATCGGGTGAATCGTTATCCGGTGTGTCCTTTGAGGGCACGGCTAGAGATTGTGTGCGCACGGTCTTCGGAGGGAGGTGTCGTGCCGTGGCGCAGCGGTCGTGTGAATCTAGGCGGACGGTTCGCCTTCTCGCCCCGCTCCACCTTATAAATAGCGGCCTTCCCCTTGATGTGTCTGCACACCAAAACCGCAACCTACCCTTCTCTGTTTCTCCACCGTCGCTGTTTTGGATCTGCTATGCTTGCTAGTCTACTGTCGGAGCCCTAGATCCGTAGCCTTCGGTCCTCCACCGCCGTTGAGCTCGCATCCATCCGCCCCCACCTCCAATGGATCTATGGTGCCATTCCAACAACACCTTCTAGCTCGATGGCTATGTGGTGTCGTTCGCCCACTTCCACGGGCATGGGCTCACGACCCCCACCCATAGATTCCTCCAGGGGCTGCTGCACTTCTACAAGATTGAGCTGCAGTATCTCAATCCCAACAGGATCCAACACATGGCGGCGTTCATCACGCTGTACGAAGAATTCCTAGGGATCAGCCCCCACTTCGACTTGTGGAGGTATTTCTTCGCCGTCAACCTCCAAAAGAAGAGGGAGAAGGGCAGCAGGCAGAAGCTGCAGATGCCGATGGGGTGCACCGGCATCCAACTTCAGAACAATTGGGTCGGCGAGTACCTGTCCATGCGGCTCTTGATGTTCAACAAGGGGTGCACTCGCAGTGGTTCTACCTCAAGAATGACACCGCCACCCCTCTGCCGGAGTTCACCGGGCATCTGATCGAAGAGGCCCTAGAGCAGTGGAGGAAGTGGGGCGTCCCGGAGAAGGATAAGAAGAAGATCTGAGACCACATCACAGCTATCCACATCCTGAAGGAGAATGGCCTAAAAGGGTTGGGCGTCATCGAGGCTTACCATGCGAGGAGGGTGGCGCCTTTGATGATGCGTGCGCTCCTGCTATACGCGATGGCGCCCGAGGTGTTGTTCGACAGAATGGCGCTCTTCAAGGGAACGCTCCCCAACTCTGAAATCACGCAACACATCAAGGAGGCGATGGAGCCTTTGCGGGACGACGTGGGTGCCGCCCTCAACTTCATCTACCCGGTGTCGGGGCATCCTTCGATGTGTTCAGAGCCAGGCTATGTTGTCCTTGTATGTTTCCCTTTCTCTTGCCTCCTCTTCAATTGATTTCCTAACCCCGTGAGGCTAACTTTGAGAGGGGCAGGACCAGCTAAGGGACCTCATCCTCAAGGATCACCCGGCGCCGCTACCGAGGGATTCGACCGTGAGGGTGGTGAATAGCGCCGAGGGCAAGCGGCTGAGGAAGGCGAAGGAGGACGAGAAGAGAAA